GGGGCCACACGATGTTTGATCATTTATCTGGACTGGAGATGCTCTTCTGCTCAGCAACCTCTTTGTTGTAAGCATACAACAGGACACGCAGCTCCTCTTTAGACTGAAGATATCTGGACATGCAGGTTTGGAAGGCAACAAGAGGTCAGAACTGGCATAATTTTAAAGTAGAATCTCTTAGTCTAACCAAAAGCTTGTTGCTTGCTTCATGTATAATTGAAAACAGTCTAAACTCTCCCAAATATTTGAAGACAGTAATGCATTTGAGTGAATTTGAATGCAAGGGAAGTCAGCATCAAGCATCTTATGCTTCACTTCTCCATCTGATTTGGTTACTTGCCATGTTAGGTTGCAACAGGTTCATGTTTGTGGCTTACGTTTTTTCTTTCACTGCAGCTATGTTGTATACCCTCCACGATGCAGAAAGGCTTTGCAGTCCTCTGCAGGATATTCTTCATACGAAAGCCTGAAAATTGTTGACCTAATGGAGCTTTAACTGTATCACTGTAATCAAGTCTAGTATACTGCAGTATGGTCATGCTAGTTGTGGCAACTGCCTCCATTTTAGCTCTCTTAGAGCATGTGCACAGACAGTAGCGCAGACTCTGCTGCACCTGCTCCATCCATGTGCTGTACTGCCCAGCTGCAAGCAGTTCTTGGCAGAGAGTCAAGTGTCTGCATCAGGTTTGGTGCTTTGTGAAGCTGTAAGTTTTGAGCAGAGTTGCGTAAATGAACACAACTCTCCTCTCCTGTTCATGGCAATCATCCTGTGCACCAGGTGTTCTTGAGAGATGAGGCTTATTTGCTCAGTGCTGTCCTAACTGCCTCTGTAGTGAGTAAAACCTGTGGTTTCTGGACCACCATTGTTAGGCAGATGGTGAGGCACTCAGGTCGGTCAGAGCCATACCTGTGCACACATGGCTGCAAAGTGTCTCTCAAGCATCTTTTTTTCTCTCAGCCACAGAGACAGCTAAGATCCTTACAGATAGTCCTTACAAAGTTGGAGAAAAAAGCTAACAGACATTACAGCTCAGCCTGCAGTTGTGCTAACAGGTATAGGACCCAATTCATGAGCCCTGTTTGGCAGATGCATTTTAGTTGTATTGTGCATACATGAAGTTCCACATGTATAAATGGTTGCCTCTGGGTGTGTGCAAGCTCCACTCCAGGACTGTACTGACAGGGTAGCGCTCTTCCTAGGCTACAGCTAGCTTATATCTAGGTAGCCGGGAGTGCTGGTGGAGGAGATTTGTAAGTGTTTCTACCTGAGCACACAGGTATGCTGATGCCAGGGTAGGCATCAATGAAAGTGAGAAAGTGAGACATGGCTGTGTTAGCTCGCTCTTCCCTTCTCTTCTCTCGTTGGCTGCTTCTCACTACTTAATTAGAGGTATGGACTAAAAAGGCAGAAATACTTTCAGGACATTCTTTTGAAAACAAACAATATGAGCAACGAACAACTTGGCACATAGAACAGATTTACTAATCAGAAAAACCTTACTTCCAAGAATATAACTTACTTAATTTTTCATAACTTCTAGTTGTGAAAAAAGAGCTTTCGGACAATTTCCATTTGTAGTACTGATATGGGTAGTAGGTTTATTTTGAAAATTAGGCACTCATTTTTAAACCACTTATTCTTTTATGCTTAGACATGATTTTAGTGTGTTTAAATATGCTTTTAGTGTGCAGTGTATCAATTTGAATGTCCATATATGATATCACATGGAAAGAATCCTACAAACTGATCAGCAGTAAAACAGTATGCCTATCACTTATCTTTGACCTCTAATGATAACAGTGATCCAGTCTGAGTAGCCATGGTTTTTAAATAGATCACAAGGAAGTGTGTGGACTTCCACAAGATGTTTAGAGCTCCTAAGCTGGATGCTTAACTTTCAGATAGTGAAGCTCTTTCCATATCAGATCCATCTTTATGGAGCAGCAGGACTTAAAGAACGGCTGTTGCACAAGTCTGTCTGTGAAGATATGCTGGCTTACAATGGTGAATGATTTGCAGAATGAAGGACTGCAGAGCATCTGCAAATATAATATCTGTGCATATACTCCTGTCCTCCAAAAACTTAAAAGTAAAAAAACTATTTAAATGTAAAAAAAATACTATTTAAATCAATGTACTTCATTCTAAGCATGGTGACTAGGGATATTTGTGACCTTACATTTCAGTTCTTACAGGCAAGATATCTTTGTTTCATGTCATTAAAAACACAGGGATTAACACCAAAACTCCAGAGTAACTGATAAATGGAATTATTGTATGGAATTAATTGAAAAGGAGAACTTCAATAGCAACTGAAAGCTGAATTTTCTTACAGGTGAGACTAAAGCGAGAAGTGCACAAAGCTTTTCAACTGTAACATGGCAAACACACCATATGCTTTGAGAAAGATTCCTTGTCACCATAAACAATTTTTCAACGAAAAATCTACATTCAGCTACACAAGCAGGTTCAGAGATCTGTCATAATGTTACTTTTTCCTTTTGGTGAGCCCACACACTGAACATGGTGAAGGAGCTTAAAATTTGGAAATCAAACACCGGTAATGGAATTGGTGGTACTACAAAACTCAAAAAAGGATAATAGGTTTTTTTTATGAAATCTAAGAAAATCAAACCCCTACTGCTTTGTGCTTTCCTGAATGTAAGGTTATATCAGTCTTTTCTTTGACTGGATTCACATGTAATGTTTACATGCTTTTCAAAACATGTATTAGAAGAAAACAATCACAATATCAAAGATGCAGATAAAATATTTGTAGTGAGCTTTAGAGTAAATTAAGAAATTCAGCTGCAGTATTCCATGATGTCATTATTTGTTTTTTGCTTTAAAAACAAAGGAAGGAATACAAAAGAATTTGGCAGATTGTTAGGGAACCTTTCTGATGGGTATAGTCCTGCTACATTTCGCAGCCCTGCCTGCATAGAGCTGCTGCAAGAATTTAGTAGTCATTTAAATGACTCCTACCATGTAAAATAAATTGAGAGGTCAAAGATAAGAGTTGCTCTTTCACATCAGAATAAACCAGCGCAATACTTACAGCTATATCTTAATTCAAAATTAACTGTGATAGATAGGCAAGAATTTTCGATGTAGAATTACAGTTCTTTAAAAACCCAGTTGTACAATTCAGAGAAGGAAAAACAAAGTGTCTTACAAATATAAAAGAGATGTTGTAAACAATGAAAGAGATCATTCAAGCTGACAGGACAAAAAAGAACGTATACAATGAGTGGAAACATATTTCAAATTAAACAAACAAACAAAACCCCCACAAAAAATCTTCAAAAAATGACTCTGAAACTTGACTATTGAATTCCAATATTATTAATATTGTTAATCACTACTTCTAATCCTGCCTACAGTGTAAAGTGGGTGACCTCATGGCCACTTAAAATCTCACCTAGTTTAGGACTGGACCAGCACAGTATTAGTGCTATGTAATACCCATCATCTCCTTTGGAAATTAAATTCATAAAAAAAAAAGCAGAACTGCAAGTATTGTGCATACTGCTTATTATTTCCAGTCACAAAATAGCAGTCTGTAAACAAGGCACTCCAAAGATACGCAACTGTCCTGCTCATTTAGGGGAAAAAAAATACTGCAAAGTCATAACCTTTCTGAAGGACTTAAAAAGCGTTGGAGAAACTCTTAACCTTTTCATAAACAAGCAATGCCTCTGGATGTAACTTACATTCATCAGTTATATATATTCTATCCCCATAAAAAAAGCAGACTCTTTATTTTAAATAGGCCTAAAGCGTCTGCTGTTTTTCAGATTATGTATTTGGTTTGGGAATTTCAGGTGCTCGGAAGAACAGCTCTTCTGTCTTCTCCAGCATGGCTCTGCCCTGACTTTCTCCATTACTATCTTCCTTGCCTCTCTTTACTGTCCAGAACTCACAAGGTCTCATGGAGTAATGGTCATTTCCTTCAATGTGCATGTTAGTTACTTTTAGGCAGACATAGTACACCTCAGAAACAGTGAGCCATGGCTACTTACTAAACATAGCTACTGTGTCACTCGTCTGTGAATTGAGGTGGGGATGTGACTAGTATATTTCATAAATAGCGAGTACTATAAAATATTTCATAAAGTTAAATAATTTCCTGCTTATAATTAGGAATTGTGAATGCAAGTTGCATGTGCTGAGTAGTTAAAGTTTACCTGGTTTCGCTACTCTGGAATATAAACCAGGAGAAAAGTCACCTACAACTTTTCCACAAATGTGTACACTATGCGTTGTGTTTTTCAAGAAAGCAGAACTTATTTGTGCATGAAAGTGAAGTACTACAGATATCCCCGTGCCATAACTCCAGTCTACAGTAGGTTTTTTTTTACAACAGTTTTTGGAAATATTGCTAGAAAGTGTTTTGCTGAGCTTGAATGCATAGCAGAAACCAAACCATAATGTATACAGAACACTGTGCTGCCATCACGCAGTTGTGTATACTATAACTCTATGTGTCAGTTATTCACTCCAGAAACATTAAACACAACAGGAGTGGAGAAAGTAACAATCTAACATTTTCAAAACCCAGATAGCATTAATGGCAGACTTCCAGCTTGAAAGTGATGCTTCTGTCTAGACATACTTACCTGACATAATTATGAGACTCTGAATAAATGGATCTGTACTTTTTGCATGCCAGAAGCTTTACAAATAGTCAATTTAAAAGATCTTTGCCATGGGCATTGAATAAATAATCTTATATACATAAGTATATATGTATATATATTATCTATGTGTGTGTTTACAAATGCATGTTAAACAAAAGCCCTAACAGGATTTAAAAAACCCATAGCATACTTCATAACATATTTTCTAGGATAAACTACATTTTTAATTAATCACTTCAGAAATTGAAGCTGTCAGTGACCTTTTAAAATGACTATACATATACAGCACACTGTTAGATGAATGTTGATTTTTTTTTCCCCCTCCACTGCAAGCAAAGTTCAGAGAATTAGTTTTTATACTGAGAGATAATTATTAAGCTTCAATTTTGTTTCTTAGAAGTTTACAATTAGGCCATTTGATTGTAAGCCTTTTTGAGTTGTTAAGTCCAAGTAATCAAGCAACTATGTGCAGAAATTAACCCTTTATTATACTATGCACTGTAGTAGTAAAGTTTGTTTGAAGTGCATGAATAAAAAGTTAGTGAAATTACAGGAGGAACAATCTAATATAGCAATAATAGGTGCATTCACTGTGCATCTGAGAGGAGGAGGGGGGAAAAAAGAAGAGTTTTCACTCATTTTGGCCTAAAATGTGTTCAGGTTTCCAGGATTCTGACATCAGAACCCAGATAACACTGGTTAGAACCATAGGGCTTTACAATAAAAGCTAAAATATTGACCATATGATGGCAAAAAGTCTTTATTTGTGATTAACTTATTGTCTTCTAGCTACTCTCTGATGAAGTTGGTGGTGCTGTGGAGGATGATCTCCTTCTTCTTGACAAAGACCGTGATCGTTCAGCACTGTAGGCAACATGCTTATCATAATTTTGTATCTGAGCCTCGAGGAAATCCCTCTGTTGCTGGCTGATTGTCTGGCTAATCAGTCCAGGGAGAGCTTGAATGCTACCAATTAAAGTTTCCAGTTTAGTTTCCAGAGTAACAATTCTCTTCTCAAAATCTTCGCTTCTTTCATTTAAGTCAGAAATCATGTCATACATGATGTTTTGAGTCTGAAAGCAGAAGGACGCAAACAAAGGTTTAGAGACCTTACAAATACTGTAAAGAGCAGCACAACTCTTTTGGGGGTTTGTAAATGTTTTTGCACTTCACACACACAGAAAAAAGATGAATATTATAGCAATATCTAGTATTGTAAAACTGCTTTCCTTGTAGATTCAGAATAAAATTTCTATGAAATTTGGTGAGCAGATATGTAATACATTTTGAGTAGCACTTAAGATGTCATGGTGTAAATGAATTAGACAAAAGACACAGACCTTTTTTGGAAGTTCAGGTGCTTAGAAATGCACCATGCTAAGATTTGTGAAGACTCAGTCATGGAAGCCACCTGGAGACCTAACCAAAACCATGATCGATGCTTGATTCTTCTTTATTCCCTCTAGTTTTAAATGCCCTCGTTCTTCTAAGCAGAACACAAATGTTGCCCATTTGCTTTCTCCCTAAACTGAACAGGTTTTCCTGAACTGGCTCTACTAAGAGTTGTTGGATGTACAGTCCACGGCAACTGGTTTTGATATGTAGTGCAAGCAGTAAATACTCAATTGTATGCTTCTCTATTTTTGTATTCCCCAATCTATTGCCCTCTACAAAAAACTGTCTGGTTCCATCAAATATATAAGTGTGCTTCAAAACGCCATGGTGGCCAGTAAAAATGTAATCTGAAATGTGTTATTTCATAGAGACTTGGAACTAGTTAAAAATAATAACTTAATTTCTCCCTCTGAAGACTAAGACTTCAGATTAGACTTTAACTAGACTCAAACCTGGATGTAATTCAGTAGACAAACTGATTGAAGTTTAAAAACTATCCAAAGGGAATTAAAGTTACTTGAATTTGCCAGGGGAGGTTTAGGTTAGATATTAGGAAAAATTTCTTCACTGAAAGGGTTCTCAAGCACTGGAACACACTGTCCAGGGAAGTGATTTAATCACCATCCCTGGATATGTGTAAAAGTTGTGTAGATGCGGTGCTTAGGAACGTGATTTACCAATAGAACTGGTAGCGTTGGGTTAGTGGTTGGACTTGATCATCTTAAAAAATCTTTTCTAACCAAAATGATTCTGTGATTTTATGAATGAATGACTGCGCTTCAGTATCAGATGAGAGTTGACCACTTGTTTCTCTGCCCCCTGTTTCAAGATGCTAGCATAACCCTGAAAGGTAGTCTACATTAAACAGTATCTGAAAAGTCCTTATCAGCTGCCAGAAGCATTGGACTGAAACGTATTTTCAGCAGCTGAAGTTGTCAGGTGGTTCTCTAGAGCAAAAGGAGAATGAACACTGAAGAGTTTAATCTTTGCTTTGATGCACTTTAACTTGAGGAGGGTTTTGAGGTACACAAAGAGGTGTACAAGAAACCTTTATGAAAAGCCTATTAATGCTTCTAATGTAGACTCAAACTGAGATCAAAGTAACTGGCGAATATTGAGGTCTAAAGTGAAGCCTTGAATGATACCAGCTCAGCCCTCTAGTTCTTTAGCTACTCTTTTATGTTAATGTAAAGTCCCAGGAACAGTAGACAAGCAGTCTATGAATGTCTATGCATCTGAATAGCCTCTTTTAGCTCACCTCAAATGGCTTAAAAAAGATTAATAAAGCTTTATAATACATTGGCAAAGTAGGCAGCTATTATTCATTATGAAAGCTTCAACAAATGCAGACCTAAATTCACTTGCCCAGAGTCATTGCTGCATAGGATAACAAGAGAAGAAACTAGAAGCTCTAACTCCAGCCTTTGTGAGATACTGTGGTATCTCACAGCACAGTCACTATCAGTGGATGGGAAATCTATTTACTATGTAGCACTACACTGCTACGGCCCACTCACAGTTCAGCATTTACCATGCCCACTGCAACCACTTCAGTGACTCTCAGGATCAGCCTTTCAACTGTGACATCTTTTTCAAATGTACACACACAAAAAAAAATACAGCGCATTCAAATTGTGGTCACAGCCAAGCCCAAGATTTTTCATTCAGTAGGTGTTGCCAAAAAGCACACACATATTTGCGTCTTCTACAAATAGCAGACTCAGTGGTTGCATGTATAACGCATAACATTTTCACTTACAGACTCCTCATTTTGAAAGGACGATTGTTAAAACAACAGTAACTACACCTCACCTTTGCCAGGTCCACCAAAGTGTTGGCTTGATCATTCAGTTTCCTTTGTTCCATTTTTACACTTCTTAATCTGCAAAGCGGAATTTTAAGTCAGCATTTTTTGTGTATGTGGTCATATTAGGATTTCTAAAAGCATGCACCAAACTCACAAGAGCAGTAACTGCATGGACAATGCCTTGAGTACTTTGTGTAAAGTCAGAACTGGTCATGTGCTTGCTATAATGAGAAGCATGCTTCTTCAACACCGCAAAAAAAGGAAAGAGCAAGGTAATGTGATGTCCTTCAGAATACCATTTGCCATGGTCAAAGTTGAATTCATAAAGGGAGATAACAGTTTATCCAGACTATATGAAAGAAAGCCAAAACATTCCTCAAAGCCTCAGTATCGTGACAAGTAGATATAGGAAGAAACACAGAACAACTGTTTTTTTGTAATTAATGTTGCATCAGTCAAGATTCTTCCCATGCCTACATGACTAGATACAGGTATTAGCCCTGTTCTGTCGGAAATGGATTGGGTTAGCACGTGTTTGAACCTGATGGAAATACAGTGATAAGTGAGTTTCTCATGACATTAAACAGATATTCCATCTGACCAGCAGCTAAATGATCAACAAACTTGCCAATACATTTGATTCTCTTATGTAGTTTGTGAATCTAAATATTACATTTTAAACTTACATTAGACATGCCTTTTCAATGCACTATTGAAACTACAGCATTGTGAAAATGTGACAGCAGCAAGGGTATACTTTTCTCTTTGATGCCTGATCATCTGCATTATCATTATTAGTTATGCACATTCTTTGAAAGATATATACATGACCCTTCTTATGTGTTCCCTGAAACAAAGTCCATGTTTTTCAGATTAACAACTAGAGGAGTGGTTTGTAGATGCGATTTTCACAAATAAGCATTTACTCCCTTAAGTATGAGTCATTTGCTCAACGTTTTCCAGCAGAGAAATACTTGGACTTTCAATGTCTTTTCTGGTGGCTGTTATAAGCAGGAAATAGCATTTTTCAAAAAAAGTATCCATTTTTAAACAATGTGTGATAACATACCATGGAGCTTACTAGTGCTTCAAGGGTCAACCAGGCTAATCATTTGGTTAGCTGTCAAATGAAATAAGTTTGGCAGCATTTTGTGGCAGGTGGGTTGCTAATGCATACTCTGCCTATTTCTCAGTGATGGTGCTACTTAAAATCTCCTTAAAGAAAGCCTTCTTGGAGATATTCCAAAATCAGGAAGTTCTGAAGTTACCAAGTATATCCTTCCATATATAGGATAACCACCAAGAGAAAATCAGTTGTGAAAGGTGAAATATCTTTCAAACACATGAAAATAAGTTTGTTAAGGAAGGAACCAATTGTTCACATAACATTGACATTCCAGTGGCTTCTAATTGCAACATCATATGCTCTTCTTCCCCTGGAGGCTTCCTTCAGAGCACAACATAAGTGCAGACTGTAGCAACCGTGCTTTCAGAAGGTATAAGATGGAGCTATTCTAAAGCAAAATATATGGAGGAGTCCTGAAGGTATCATTATGGTCTCAGAACAGAATTCTTACTCAAAGATAAGCATGTAATGGTTTTACGGGGAAATTATAACACTAGTGTTTCGGTGAGCATCTCTCAAATAGTTTGCAGAGTATGTGTTTTCTGCCATTGTTAAGATTTATTGGCTCATCTGTTTGCCCATTAGCATTTTAGTTTTAAAATTCAAGGAAATACATTGTTATTGTAGCACTACAACTACCAGCTGACACCAACATGATAATTCCTCAGGGTAACCAATCCAATACCAATCACAGACTAAAAATGTATCTCTAGGTAATGGCAAGTCTTTAGCTGCTACAGCCAGATTCAGAGAAAACTGTTGACACCTTCATTCCTAAATTCATTAAGAGGAAATATGAAACATCTTGATTTGATGAACTTCACTTATCACAGCAAAAGATCATGATTCTGGATCGCATTTCCATGGCAGCAACCAGACCACTAAAGTTCACAAATAAAGACTCTATTTTTTCGCATGCAGACAGTGGTAAATTCTGCGAATTTAGAAAGGAACAGCTTTTACAACTTACTTCCGAGCTCTATTTTCATTTTGTTGAAACAAAAGACAAAACAAAAGAAAACAAACTGTAAAATATACTAAAACAACCAAAGGAGCACAGTGGGCTCGATTCAGCAGGTGGGAAGTCCTAGGGAGTTGCTACTTCTTCCAATCAGTAAGTGCCGGAGGTGGAGTATATAGCTCACTTGTATTCATGAAGAAGGAAAATGTAGTATCTTCAAACCTGCCTATTAACTACCATCTGTAGATTTTCTTACTCATGTATAAAATGCCTTTTAATAGTATCATTTAGGGTGGTGATTTTACTTTCACCTTATTTAGTGTGCATGAGAAGCTAAAAAGACCCAGACTAGCTGAAGGCAGTTTCAGAGCTGTGATTCTGAGTTTGACACCATTACCACGATCTGCCCTGACTCTTCACTCCTTTCATTTCTGCCCCCAGTGAAATGGTTGGAAAAGTGACAGAGGGGAACCAGCAAAACAAACTAAGAATCTAGAAAGATAGGAAAGAGCCATATACTACTATGAGTCACTTGAGAAAAGTTCAAAGATGTAAAGGGAGAAAAAAATAATTTGCACCCTACTCTGCTACAGATAGAAGAAAGCAAACTGCTAGAGAAATGTTTTCATCCATGACCCATTCTCGGTATATTGAGAAAATTAGGGTTTTTTTTGTTTTTTCCTTGCTTAAATACAAAAATTTGGGAATGGAATGCAAACCACTAAAGGACAGAGGGAAATGCATTATTAACATAGCTGTTCCAAATTTGGCTGGCACAGCTAGAAAATAATTACTGCTGCCACCTCCTTCACTCCACCTGATTAATGAATTTTTAAGGCAGGTGCAGAACAACATTTTACATCCTGTGAAAGTCTTCTAGGCTTGAAAGATACATAAAGCTGCAGATCCGAGCCTGCTGTGCTTTTCAGATACTTCTCTGAACATGTGCACACACACACACACACATACAAAATAAATAGCAAAGTTAAAATGTTAAGGAATAATTTTTGAAATCAAAGATTCAAGTTCAGCAAAGGATGCACAGGACATGCCATCCTCTATTCCATAATCTCCGTCACTCCTCTCCACCTCCCAATCCTTTAAACTAAGTCGGATGACCAAACAAAAATATACTTTTTACATCCACAGAAAAATGCCTCGACTTCTTTTTTTTTTATTATTATTATTATTCCTTCAGGTATTTCTACAACAGCACAGGAAGTTTTATTCCTGCAAGTCTGCTAAATATAATATAGTAATCAAGGTTCATAGAATACTTCATACCTTAAGATTAGCTACCCACTGCTTAAAAATGTTGCTATGAAACAGAGAAATAGTATCTGTTAGCCTAAATTTACTAATATGAAATACGATAACCTGGCTTTTCTTCCCTGTCTTTACTGCAAGATGACATGGAGGTGTTCTTTTCATGATGGATGTTTCCTTCACATCTCCTCACAGGTTAGCTTAGACACAGACCCACACTCAAAAGTTACCAAAACACCTGTTTGAAATTAAATTTACTCTATCAACATCTCCTCTGTATGCCACGGAAACTAGTTTCATTAGCTGTACAAATAGCTGTCTCAGAGTGGAGGGGGACATCAAATAGAGCAGACAAATAGTGGCACTGGTACTGACCATTCATCAAGAAGAATCTATGGCTCTGGAGGACAAACGTCTCTTTTTTTCTCCCATGCAGTGAAGGAAAAGTGAAACATTGTGCAATTCTGATGTATTTGATGTGCTTTATGACAAGTATGTATTGTGCATTTTATATAAATACTTACAGTCTGCCAATACGATAATTCATCTTAATCCTACTACTGTTTACATTTCTCAGGCTTGTTTTCAATCCCCTAAGATTTCAGTAGAGGGGGGGGAAGAACTCATCTGAAACATGCCAGAGGTGCTCAATGGTCACGCAGTGACTGTTGGCATATACTCCCATTTTCTGGAACAGATGTCAGGGGTCATAGCTGACATACCAACTTTCGATTTTACACACTGAGAATACGTGGGGGAGAGAGGAAACTAATTTCTGTTGTGCTGCATAATGATGCTTGATGCATATTCTTTCCATTAAATACCACATACATATGCATAGGGTCTCTTCCATCACAACACTCAGATCTTAAATTACCCAAACATCTACTACAAATGAAACTTTTGTTTTGTTCTGTCTGTTGTAGCATGTATCTTACTACCTGTAAGCAAATATGTAACAATAAAGGACAACCTCAGTGGCAAAAGACAGTCTTAGATAATTCAAAATGCAAGGGAAACATCAAAAAACCCCCTATATAAATAATTGATTTACCCTGTATTGGACATACACAGCCAGTCCACCTTTTAATTTTTTTTTTTTAAATA